GGCATCTTCATTCTCTGCCTGAACGTATTAGCTGAACCTTCAATGAAAAACATCAATGATGTGACAGTTTGAGCTGTTCAGATGGAAGCTCTGGACAGTTCTTCTTCTGCTTTATTGCATAGGGACAGGGCTTGAGTACCCACATGTGGAACAGCAGCGCTGCCGACTGTCAGTGCATATCTGGGAGCTGGGTCCCCTTTTCCCCTTCCCCAAGGCCTTGCAAGGGGTCCTCCAGCTGCCAGGGCCTGCTTAACACTCCCCAAGGGCCGCAGCTTTAGGCTTTTAATGTCATGTGCTCTGAGGTTATTTACATGCAGGCACAGAGGCAGGCACAGAGGGCTGAGGGAATATGACTGTCATCTTCCAGCTTTAAGCCTCTGCCCATTACACGACCATACTGCCTTCAGTGTACTGTGGACGAATATTTCCATCCAAATGAAGCGATGTATTCTATTAGATTGCCATGGTAATATAACTACAATGATTATAATTTAAATTGTAAATATTTTAAAGTGTTAATTTGTTCAATGCAAACATTTTTCAAATACAATTTTTATGTCTCTGCAGTAAGATTTTTATTATTATTTTATATGCTGGGAGTCTCAAAAATTGGATCGAGGTTGGGCCTCCCTTGGTTTGGGTCTCACTGCCCTCTGGATCCTTTCTCCTTCACAGGCTGTGACCTGAGTGGCCACTGCTGTTTTGGAAGGTTACTACGGCAGGTAGTAACACTCCCATACTGACAGCGGAGAAAGAGGAGTCAGAGCCCAGGCGTTCCCATCAAAGCTGCAGAGGCAGTTAACACCCGCACTGGGTTATGCATTCCTTTGCTTCAGTGCATCTTAATAAAAAACGAGTCTGCTGTGATAGGTGTATTGAATTATCTAGGGTATCTATCGATTATGATCTAAAACTACAGATCTGTAATGCCTTATCTGAAACCTTTGGGGCCAGATGTGTTTTGGAATTCAAGGTTTTTAAAATTTTATTTTAGAAGGTAATATGGTACATGTATCCTATATTATCTAATGCCCTCAGCAAGGTCTTGAAATCAAACACATTAACATTTCTGCAGCAAAACTTATGAATATTCACACTAAGCAGGATCAATAAGGACTATAACAGCCTTATGTTAGAACAGGTCAGACTTTGCTGCAATGAGATTGCGGCTGTCTTTCAGAAAAAGATCGGAGGTTATTGAATTTAGAAATTGCATATTGTGGATCTGTCTCTGTGTGTTTTAAATTTTGTCAGTCTTTATTAGTCCTGTCAGTCATTTAGTTAAGACAGTGTAGGAAGAGATTTTGAGTAATCTGTGTGAAAAGTAACGTGAGGCACTTTTGTTAGAAGAGGAAAGAGACCAGAACGATGGGCAGGCCATCTTTTGATGGAGTGGTGGAAAAAAAATCAATGTTTATGCCTTTGGGTGTTGCAGTTATGTTATTTATCAAGCAGGCTAACCAGGGTGAAGTAACTTCCACTCCTTTCAGCCTTTTAAGCACATCAAAGGAGGGTGGTTGGGAGAATGGGCCCGGCTACCCTAATTATATCTTACCAGCTGGCCACAGGCAGCATGAAGATTTTAGGGTAGGAAATTAGTTGATGATCTGGGATGGTAGCATAAATTTACTTCTGTCCTGATTTGAAAATATCCCTTCCAGCCCTGTAATGATATCATGGTATCTTCTAATTAAGGATATTGGCAGAAAACCTTTTAATATTTTATAAGAAAAGTAGCTGCTTGTAGGGCTTGTAAGGGAGCCAGTAATTATTCACTCTTTTGAGGATGCTACCAGCAGTAGCCAGGATGGAGCTTGGACCTCAGGAGCCCCTCTCTCCTGGGGCCACCAGCTGGACTGAAGAGTATCCGCTAGTCAGAGGAGAAGCAGAAGGGAAGGGAGAGCCTCAGAGAAGGGTGGAGGAGAGGTGGCCCTTCTCCCCGTAGATCTTCAGGAAGACCATTTGATTTTGAACTTTTTCAATGCAAGGGTGGTGCCTTATTTATCTTTTCACACCCCCTTCGCATACCTGTCTTTAACTGGATTGCTACTGACAAAAATGTAGCATCATCTGAAGTCACTTGCAGTATAGGTAAGTCCTACGTGGGGTAATTTGGATGAACAGGCTCTTAAGTTGGCAGAAAATGTGTTGCAGACTCAGTTTTATCCAGCAGGTTTTCTTGACTCCATGTGCTCAGCTCTGTCAGACTCTGTGGGGAATTTACAGAAAGTTCAAGGGGTCTCTACTACCTTTCCCCAAGACGCATGCTGGAAAGTGGAGTGGAAAGGACACTTTAGGTTCTTGACCACATCAGTGTCAGACCGATTATGGCTGTGACCAACAAGAACTCATGGAATTAAACTACCTCTGATATGAGCAGAACTAGGTGTGGGACATAGTAGATACCGGATAAATAATTGTTGAGTAACAGGTTAAATAACATTTAAAATACTATAGTTTTGCTAAGACCTATAAAAGAGATAGAAATATACTTCATTCTAGAAGGTAAAATAATGGTTAACCAGAGGCTGGTGGGGGGTGGGGGTTGGGGATGGGGGAGCATGCGGATTGGTGGACTAACAGGTACAAAACTACTACGCTGTCCACTCTAAGCGAACCATTGTGCAGTGTATGCATGTACCGAAACTACACCCTGTACCCCACAGATATATACAAGTAAATGTTAAAATAAAAACAAATAGATTTAAATGAGAAAAAAATATATACTTCATTCCCCCCCCCCCCCACGCTGTTATGGGCAGAGTCTCCACCCCAGTTCATATGTTGATGTAAGTCTTGACCCACAGTACCTCAGAATGTGACCATATGTGAGTCTTTAAAAGGAAACTTAAGTTAAAAATGAGGTGATTGGGGTGGGCTCTAACCCAGTATGACTGGTGTCCTTATAAGAAGAGAAGACAGTTACACAGAGATGACTGTGTGAAGACACAGGGAGAAGATGGCCATCTACAAGCCAAGGAGAAAAGCCTCAGAAGAAACCAGTCCTGCTGACATCTTGATCTCAGACTTGTAGCCTCCAAAATTGTGAGAAAATAAATTTCTATTGTTTTGGCTACCCAGTCTGTGGTACTTTGTTATGGCAGCCCTAGAAAACTCATACACAAGAGTACTGTAAGATGTGCATACAGAACCTAAAGTAGAATTCCACTGTACCAAAATTGAGCTGAGACTATTAATCTAGCTACAATAAGCATGCTTCCGTCATTTAGAAGATTTTTATGTCTTTGAATTTAGAAGGATTTATTTTTTCTTTTTAAAACATCTTGAATGGATTAGGCTTTTTTTTTTTAACAAGAGCTTGTTGGAAAAGCTGGAAACAATACTCTGTCTCCTCTCAGTATATTTCCTTGTAACAAACAGTCTTGCCCATCCTATAATTAATAGCTGTGGCAGCTATATACAATGAATATTTGCAAACTTGCTTAAGAGATGTGAGGGTCTGAAAAGATCTTATATTTGCTTTTCTTGTTAGTCTCTCCTTCAATGCTTCCTTCTTACTCAGAAGAACTTTGAGAGCATCTTGGAAGGAAAGAAGACGTTACTGTAAGGCAGCCTGTGGGGGCATTTGTGGGAAGGGAACAGGGAGAGAGGGGCCACATTTGTGGGCTGATAGGCCTGCTCTCCTGCACTCTCAGATGAGTGAACAAAGACACCAGGAAATAAAGCAAGTTTTCATCAAAGTTTAATGAGTCCCCTGTTCCAGAAAGGACTTAAGTGACACAGAGATGCATGTAATACTTCATGATAAAATAAATACAGATAAGTAATAAAAATAAAACAAAGGGACAATCAGGTTTACAAGGCAAGATGGATCTAAGAGTGAGATAAGAAGCAAAAAGCATGCTGTGAAATCCCTTACTTTTACTTATGGTGGGCCACACATTTGCTATTAGGGAGCTTCAGCTCTTTGGCAACTTGGACAAAGAAAGAAATTCTCTTAGTGACAGCATTCACAGTGTCCATGAGGTAAACACAAACCTAGTGCCTGGGGAAAGCACAATCACTCCAGACCTCAAGGGTAGAGAGAAATCTTCATTCTGGTTAAATCCTCAGATTAGATTGTTTCCTATAATCCTCTTCTATTCAATATGAATCAGGGATGTAATGCTAAAATCTATTTTACCAAAAGCAATTTTATAGAGTTGGCAGGAGAGAGGTGCTAATAAAACTAACATTTACTATAAGATCAAAGGAGTATATACAGAAAGAAAAACACATAGGACATTCCATTTTTATTTAGTTGCATAATACTGACTACGAGATTCACTAGGAAGTTTTAGGAAATGTTTTTATTCCATGTCTTACTTTCAAATAACGGAAATACAGAAATTTGACACTATAAGGGATTTCAGTAATGAAGCCCCCCATTTTTTCCTAGATGAAGAAACTAAGGCTCAGAGAGGCTAGCTATTTTCAAGGTCGCACAGTGATAAGAAGAGCTGGAGACTAGAATACATATTTTTTTGCATTCCAAACCAATGCAATTAGACATCAAAGGATGCTTAAAACTCTAAGTTTGAACTCAAGCTTTAAGGGGTCATTAAAACCATGTTACTTGTAAAAATGCTTGCTTTCAGGCATTCAGCTGTGTACTGACAGCTAAATGCAGAATAGAGTTGTTTTTCCTGTGAAGAGGTCATTATTCTATTATCATATTTTGCTTGTTGATACTCCAGAGATCATTTTTTTCTTACTGCTTTATTTTATTACCAGCATTTATTAAAAGGCCCTCGTAAGTGCTGTCTGTTTTGGTTCCAGTGAAAACATTCGTGTAGATGTTAAGAATGTTTGATTTTCACAAGGTTTGAAAAAAGCAATGAAATGTTCTTTTTTAAAAATTGAAACAATTAATTATACATGTTTGTGGGTACATAGGTGACTATCAGTACTTGTGTACAATATGTGATGATCAAATCGGGATAATTAGCATATTCATTACTATAAAATGTAATCATTCTTTGTGTTCGTTAATGAAATATTCTTTTTTGAATGGCCCATTCTTTTATGAAGGCATTATTTCCAACTTGATCTTTCTTTTGGAGAACTCAAAGTGATATGTTTGCTGTAATAAGTTGGAGCAAGAAGTCAGAAGATACAATTTTATCCTTTTGTAGAAAAACAGAATCACTTTATAGAGTTTAACAACAGAATTAGGCAAAGAGTAGGGAATATCAAATTATCTCAGATCAAGTGTCTTTCTGATTTGAACGCTTATTTTCTAAATGCACATTTGGAAAAGGATTGAGGCAATGTGCTCTTTCATGACTTGAGTGGAGGCAGAATTCAAGCAGTTAAAAAATGGTATTGAGGTGATCTTTATTTCCTTCAGATTGCTACCTGCTCTGATTGTTTTTCTGTTAACGTTTCTGATCTCCTAAGCTATAGGTTAAAAAAAGGAGGGGGGATCTGCTATTTTTAGCTCCCTCTTTTTAGTTCCAAGTCTGTGTTTCTGCTTCCAGTGGAAATGCTGCATGTATCCCTAAGGATACCAAAGCAATTTTCCAGCAAATAGATGCTACCTCCATCATACCTAGGGATAAACCAGAGTATGAAGAAGAGACGCGTAGGACTTGGGACAGAGCTGGACATTCTGATACTTGACTGGGTGCCAGTTTCTGTTTTCATCACCCACCTTCAACTCAGCGACTGCCTCATTCTGATTGATCCTATGCCCATCCAAAAGCAGCATCCATGGAGGTCCATTGTGGTGGAATAGAAGCATCTACATCTTTGGAACATCACTTGAATGCTAAAAATCCTGTGTTTTGGGCTGGGGAAGCATTTTTATCAGAGTGCTGATTCTACTGTTCTAGAAGGACAATTATATTTACATGTACTGCTATAAAAAAGTAAAATTTGGGATCTGCCTGTTTCCCTTATGTCACCCAAATTGTTTACATTTTGAATGGTTAAAGTATATGATCTTTTCTTACATGGCTATTTTACATCTCTTCCAAATTCCTGGACTTATATTATTTAAAAGCATTCATTCATTCAAGAAAATTTTATTGAGGCCCTAGTATGTGCCAGACTCTGTACCTTAAACAAAAGATTTAGCCTCTTGTGAGAATTCATTTAAAATATTATAGGCAGCATGATAAAGACTTGATTGAAAAAAAGCAAACTTTGTATAATGATTGGGACTATATAAAAATGTGTCAAATCAGGTATAGAGCAAATGGAAATGAAAACTATTTTGCATTAGGTTGGAGTGGTTATAGAAGATTTTTTTCCTTAGAAATAGAACTTTTATTAATTTTTTAAAGAATATAAAATAAAAATAAATTCAAATGACATAACCATTCAAACCAGATAATTCTGGGTAATTCAAGTTATCAGAATTTTTCTCTTTTTCATTGCTGTATCTCTGGTGCCTACAGTAGAGTCTGGCACAGAAGTTTTGACAATGTTTGTTGAATGAATTAATTCGAGTAAAAGAAGTACAGATCCTTTATGAATTTGGAGTGATTGCCTTATTGGTTGACCCAGTTTTCACAAAGCCCTGTCTGGCATTTGCTTTGTAGCAGACAGAACTGTAACTGATCATTCTGTTCTCTTTGTATTATTTATAGGGATATTTTGCACCATTTCGCTCTGCACTTACGCTGCCAGTGTCTCTTATGATTTGAACCGGCTCCCGAAGCTAATTTATAGCCTGCCTGCTGATGTGGAACATGGCTACAGCTGGTCTGTCTTTTGCGCCTGGTGCAGTTTAGGCTTTATTGTGGCAGCTGGAGGTCTCTGCATCGCTTATCCGTTTATTAGCCGGACCAAGATTGCACAACTAAAGTCTGGCAGGGACTCCACTGTATGACTGTCCCCACTCAAGGCCCGTCCATAGTGCGGGTGACTGCTGAGGCGAGCAGAGCCCAGGTTCACATCAGGATTCCAAGCACAAAGCGGTCTTTTACATTCCAACCTGTTGCCTGCAAGCCCTTTCTGGATGACTGATAAAAAAATCATGCAAAACCTCCCAACCTTTCTAAGGACGAGACTACTGTGGATTCAAGTGCTTTAATGACTATTTATGCTTTGACTGTGAGAAATAGGGAGCAGTGCCATGGAACACTTCTAGGTGTAGAAAAAGAGGAATGGAAAAATTTGTATGATTTTCATTTCTTTCAGAGAGTTTGTATATAACAGTTACCTGAGAGTCATTTCTATTTGGAAAAGGATTCGTAACAAAGCAAGTATAATTTTCTTGTCATTGTACCAAGCTTGTTAAATTTTAATGCAGCATCTTCAGAACTTGTCCTAATGGTGTCTTGTTGTGTCAGCACCAAATATTTGTGCATTATTTGTGGATATTCCTTGTCACAAGAAGATTCTATGTTGCCTTATTTTTTTAAATTGAAGTCTCTTCTCTGTCTTTATACTGAAATTGAAATCGTAACACAAAAACAAAACCAGATCAACCGTGTAAGAGCTAATCTGTGACACTATGCAGTATTGTTTAAAGTCCTATCTGTTGTTCAACTTGTCTCTTTATGTTAACTGGATTTCTGCATTAAATGACTGCCCCCTTGTTAATCTGGGTGTGTTTTCCTGTGTCTTTTAGCTGTGTCAACAAGTCTCCCTACAGTATGGACAGAGGAGAACTCTGTTATTTTAATAAGACTCTTGTTAAGACTTACTAATTGCTTCATTTTCACTAGGTTGGCCATTATTTATCAATAGCAACTACACACTTGCTTTTGACAAAAGATGTCATTTTCAAACATCTTTTTAAACCTTTCTATAATATTTTAAATTTTCTTTCCTCTTTCTCCCCCTCCCCATCTCTTTCCCTCTTCACCTCTCCTTCCTCTTCTGCCCACTCCGCCCTTCCATGAGCCCAGTGTGTGTAAAGGGCACATGGTCTCTGGCCTTGTTCTTGGACCTCCCAGCCCACTGACTTTAAAACTTGGCTTCACATTAGACTCACCTGGTATATTCTTCGCCTGTACCTCACTGGGTCCCACCACAGACCAGTTAACTCTGAATGTCTGAAGCTGGGCCTGGGCTTGAATTTTTGAAAAATTCCCAGACAATTCTGTTGTGCAGCTGAGATTGACAGCCACTGTTTTGGCCAAAATTGGAGTTACCTCCTTAGCTACTAACTAAGCTAACTAACTTATTTAGCACTTACTATGTGTCAGTAACTGGACTGTGGTTTTTTCCAAGTGTTATTTCACTTAATGCTCTCAAAAGCTCTGTGAGGTAGGTGCTGTTACTCCATTTTTCTGATAAGGAAGCTGAGGATCTGACTCAAGGTCATTTTTTCCCCTCAATCCTTTTCCTATGTGTGGTACAGGGCAAAAGTTAAAATCTGTCCATTTTGTTTTCTAATCTTTCAGTGGAAGGGTGGGCACAAGCTAACTTCTAAGCTTTTCTTTTTAACTCAAACATTATCCCCTCTTCTACATACAACATAGGATGAATGTGCTCTGTAAAATAGGGGAGGATGCCATCTCCAGAAGAAAGACACTTTCAGATGTTAATTTCATAAAAGGTACTTTTCTTTTTTCTGTATAAAAACTTAGTTTGTACTCATAAAAGGAAAATGATAATTGATCCCCAAAGAATCAAGTCTGATTCCCAAGTGACAGTGTCCACATATTGTCATGTAAGCTGTTTGGAAGAGGTTAGATGATGCTGGTTGCCACACAAGTCCCCGCCCCGGGTTCCAGGCACAGCTGAGGCTTGCGAGTGTATTCACTGACAATCTCTCAGGCCTGTTTAATAAAATGGTCCCTCTGGATGAGATCAGAGACATAGAAAAGGGCAATTATTTTCACTTATTGCTTATGTGGGAAATGCTCAAAGCGGGAGAACTCTTTCTTTGAAGTCTGCTTTAAAGGTGTCCATAGAAGATGTCAAGACTCTTGAACGTTTATATTCCAACCACCAAAGCAATGTCTGAGTGAGTAACTTTTGAAGTTTGAGAGACGTTTCCTAGGGAGTTGACGAGAGAATGGAAGAAAGCCTCCCAGCTGCAGAAGGTTGAAAGGTTCACACACCAGGAAGATTTGCCCTGGAGCCAGGGTAGTTTACTCAGGATTGGAACTGTGCGTGTGTGAGGCTTCCTGCCTTTGGCCTAAGGGAGCTGGAGCAAGGAGCTACGTGCCTGGTCATGGTTCCTCGCTTTTTATTTACTGCCATGAAAATGTGAGTGAGTGTTGCTGTTAGGCTTTTGGCCCCCAGTCCTTGAGCTTCTCTTGGGGGTGTCTTCTTAATTGGCTTGCGAATGCAGAATGCCTGAAATGGCTGCACAATACCGTGTGGGACAGAATAATTTATTGAGATCCTTTGTTTGTTCTCATTATGTTCTTTCTGTCCCATTTCTAGTTGCATCATGTAGCCTAAACTATTTCTTTGCCTCGGGGATTTTCTCTGGGCAGAAAGCAGAGGTGGTTGAGCTCACTGAAGTGAGAATGCAGTGGGTCCAGGAGGGGAAGGGGCAGGCCTGACGAGTGACTTTTTAGGCTAGACCTACTCGAGGGCATCCCAGAGCCTGGGAAGAGAAGGGATGGCAATTATGCAATCAGCTGTACACTCCCTGAAGGTATCAGGGCATCACGGGACACCGGGACCCTTGGTACATACGATAGCTTTCAGCCTCCAAGAGCAGAATCAATGGGCATTTTAGTAGTTAACCAGTCAGAGCCTTGGAGAGTCCAGGGACATTGGCACAACTGTGTGCATGCGTCTCCAATAATGATTGAGGAAAATTTCCCTAGTCCTGCAAGATAGGGCTCTGAACTGCAAGTGGATTTACAGAACACCCGAGATTGTAGACTAAGAATCATGTCTATCGGCCATATATAGACAACATTTACAAAAAAGGCTTTACCCAAAACCTTGATGAAATAGCCACAGGCCACACATGCCCCTCCTTTTAACATCCTCTACCTTGGTTTATCTCCAATGTTAGAACCATTGCTGCCCACTCCAAGGGAACCCTACCCCCTCTTTCTTTTTTTAAAATTATTGAAACGTAATTGATTATACATATTTGTGGGGTACAGAATTGAATATCAATACTTGTGTACAATATGTGATGTTCAGTCAGGATAATTGATATACTCATCATTACAAAACATAATCTTTGTTTCCATTAACCAATTTCTTACTAATGGGGAATTTAGTGTCTGTATTTAGTGTCTTGGGTATGTCCTTCTTGGGTTGAATCTGTTTGGGGATCTTTGAGCTTTTTGGATCTGTGAGACTGTATCTCTCCCAATACTTGGAAATTTTCAGCTATTATTTTATTAAACAGGCTTTCAATGCCTTTTCCTTTCACTTCCTATTCTGGTTTACCTCTTCTGGTATACCTGTAACACGGATGTTTGTATGCTTAAGGTTATTAGAAAGATCTTGTAGGCTTTCTTCATTTTTAAAAAATTCTCTTTCCTTTTTTTTTTTTTTTGGTTCAACTGTATTAATACAAAAAGCCTGTCTTCTAGTTCAGAAATTCTTTCTTCCTTTTGTTCTAACCTGCTGCTT